TAGAACGTTAGGTTGTAAGATACATAAAGCACAGCCATCTGTGACCACATGTTGTAAATTGAATTCTTATGTGGAAGTATACAAGAAAATCAAGGAAAGAAACCTTCCGTTTATTCTATGAGTAATCCAAGTAACGGTTCTGTCTCAAGTTATTGCCGATTCTTTAAAACTGTGAAGACCGTCAGCCACGCAGTGCGTTAAGTTCCGACGATGCACCGTCTCAAAATGGATTCGTTACGGTACACCCCATATACCCAGATCCATGACTGGATAGTATGTTCCGGATGGCTAGGATCCCTTTACTCTGACATTCTTTTATCTTTACTGAGGTGACCCCTTTCGTCATTTATATGTAAAATTCTCGTTTTAGTGTTAACATTTCTGCAGAATTATTTCTGGAAATCTATTAAGGAGATGCTACGATAGAGAATATTAAATAGAGCAGAGGGGTATCCATGAAAGCTTGGAAAGCGAACTTCGAATCGGTGAAGAACTCGATGAAGAAAATCGATGAATGGAATAAGATTAGCTTAGCTAGATTAACGTCCCGTAACGTAATTTTAAACTACGTAATTTTGTACTATGGTCGGCTAACAATGATGTCAACCGAGCTAGCTCGGCATCCTCCAAACTTCTGCTCCACGCCAACATAATGTTGCAAAGTCTTACTGTGGGTGTATGGTGTAAACAGTCCAACACGCAGAATATTGGAGAATGAAGGTTTATTTGCAAATATGTAGGAAAACACATAGCACAGGTACAGGAAACAACAGTTCTTGCACAGATTACCAATGTAAATAGACAACAATTCACAGGTAATAACAGCTCAGCACTTTGATATTTAACAACACAAACAGTCAGCAAATAACTAGTAACGACAATAACTGTACTTTCAATAGCGCTCAGCTCACCAGCTTCCTAGCTCGCACTGCGGACGAAGCTCTAAAGTCGTTTCCAATGGATCAACACACTACAGCTCGGCGTCTAACAACTTACTAGCTCGCACGGCGGATACAACTCCAAAGACGTTCGCGCTCCAAGGCGATCCTAGTCGATCAATACACCCACCGTCATCCAAGCGCTCTCCTTATATAGTTTCCCCCGGCAGGCCGTGACGTCACATGGAATTATCTAGTACATTCAAGTGTATCTTCCCTCCTAATAGAAATATCGAGAAGATTCCAGCACCTTTGAGATCCCATATTTCGTCGCCAAACTCGCCAAATTTGTCGCCAAGGTCGGGGAACCAGACGTGGCTGCTGCTAGTCATCCCATACTTATCCCTGTAAAACTCTCTTCCCAACCATAAGACTCACATTGCTGGGAAGCGTTTTTCCATGTTTGTAACACTAAGGACATTTGACCTACCACGACATATTCAAAATGTACGAAGCCTACATATACGGCTGAAACACTACCTCCTTGCCACAGTGATCCTGTGCCTAAGTTAAGAGATTTTTTTAATGCGCTAATGATATGATGTTACTCTAAATTAAGATTAGAAAGTGAAAAAATATAGAAAGATTTCGATCTGATCGAATGCTTGGTTAAAAATAAAATCAGCGAGTAAATTTGGTGTAAAGACCTCATACGCTTTTGTTTTCTAGTTTATGGCGTTCCTCAGCTGTCATGTTCACATACACACGGGGGAGACAGACGAGTAGACAGTCTACTCTTTGACAGGTCCCATTTAAAATTTGACGACGATCTACAATTTTGGTGCTGAGAACACATACTGAAATTCCTCCCTCTTGCTAGTTGCGTTTTTTGGTCATGGAATCCACATACACACGAATATACATACCGACAGACAGCAAACTCCAAAATGGATTTTGTCCAAAATTTGAAACGCATCTGCAATTATGTTTATAAAACCATATGTCAAGTGTTATCTATCTAGCTCATTCGTTTTTGAGTTATGGTGATCACATGTAAATAGACGGATGAACGGAGAGGTTAGCAGAAATTCAAAACTACAAGGTGAGTCATAAGTCTCCATCCAAATGGTGAAAGCGGTGACTAATTTCTTTTTCGTTCTGAGGAAGTCAAACCAATTGGAAATATATGCCGCTTACTCCGTCTGCACACGCGCTCCTTTCTGCTACGTTAGTACATGCGCGGGACAAATTTTACCCATTCTTGTTCGTTGCATAATAAGCTAGCGATATAAGATTAGGCTAAAATAAAGCTTTTACATTAAATTATGAACCAGTCTAAAGAACTAGAACTGATTTTTTAAAGTACACATGACAGGTGTATCAATATTTAGAAACACAAATTTGATAATCTTTGTATTGAAACTTTTTGACTAAACGATGTCTAAAATTACTAAAAAATTAATCGGCATAATTCTACGAATTATTACATAATAAATGAACTATTTTTTATAAAAATATAACTTAGCCATATTTTAGTCATTCCATCTGCTTGTCGTTTGAACAATGTTAACAAAATATGATTACATGCCTTTTGCAGATTAGTTTATTGCACTCGGAACAGGACACTGATGATCTTCTGTCATCCTTTCTAGGATACACATCGCAATGTCCGGATAATCTTTTGGGAATTTTTTCTTGTTGAAGGTATTCTTGTTCTCCGTCTAATCTTTTCACACCAGTTCTAAATTCATTTTCGCGTTCGTATGCGCTAATTTCCTCCTCCCGCTTCGTCTCTCAACGCTAGACTGAAATGAAACGCGAGCACATGCGAGGGGTAAAATACCTCCCATCTGACATTGTTGCAGTAATAAAACCCGATTTTCTGAATGCAAAAGAAATTCCTTTTTGCCATCTGTTCATGACTTTAACCTTGAAAGGTACCAGATGTAAAAGAACGGTCAGTTAAGACTAACCCCTTTTTTATGCAAAATAATGCAGCTGGGGTAGATTTTGTCCCAGCGCGTGTGCTGACAGGTTACGAAGGAAGAACACATTAACATTATTCTGTTTGCTGGGAGTGGTACCACCCGTCATGTAACACGTACTTTCAATGCAACGCACAGGACGCAGAAACCCCTTGACACCGTGGCAAAACTTATCATGAAATTCAAAAAGACAGGTCGTCGTTCGATCTGGAAGACCAAACAGGGCAAAAGACGAAGGCACGGTCGAGGGAAAAAAAAAACACCAGCATTATTCTGCCATCGTTCATCGGAAATTCAAACAAAAGGTACCAAATTTCAGGAAATAACGTCTACTAAACGATTCCATATCCAAAAATTTCATAAGGGGTCGTCTACATAATTATGATTGCACTAACTTCAAAATTTCCAACGGCGACACCAATTTTTTTCAGTGGACTTCAAAACTGCATAAAAAGTTATGCTCGGATACCAAATTTTATCATTCAAATTTTGTTCTGAAATTATAAGCAAATAAGATTTAGAGTCTCTAATGTTAAAGCAAAATTTTGAATTTTTTTTGAAATCCTAAGATATAATATAGTTATTGACCTAGAACGTTTCGATGCAATAGCATGAAGTAGTAACACATTCTGCACCTATACTTTTTATTTTAAAATAATTTTGAACACAGGAAATATTTTATTAAATTTGATGTTTAAAAATTTTCGAGTGGCAGCACCCCGAAATTTTAACCGTAACCAACGCAGAAGGATATTTAATAAGTCCATGCAAAATTTCAGCTTTTTCGAAAAAGTAGTTTTTAAGTACATTAAATTTTCTATTTTATCTATAAAACGAAGCACTTGGGGGTGGTCCATATATTTAAAAAAGTAACACCTTTCTTTTATTTAGTAAAGTAAAACATATGGATCAAAATCATATTTTTTGGAGAAAATTTCATTTTTGAAGAATTTTATAATGCATCTAGTATTTATCGACTGTAAAAAATACATTGTAACTTTTAGGATGACGTTTAAAGAGCGAAATAAGTTAAAATTCTACCACCGACATTTAAACGCAAGCAGCGAGCTTCACTATCTAAATATGGAGGGGGGCTATTTTGTAGCGCGAACACAAAATGACGAATATCTTCCGATTTTGTAATGGTTAAGTAACCAAAATTGATACCTTGGGATATTTTTTGATGGAGAATTTATTTATGTCATCAAAAATGAGTGTTGGAAATTTTGAAGTTAGCGCAATTATAAATATGTAGACGACACCTTATGAATTTTTAGATATGGAATCGTTTAGTAGACGTTATTTCCTGAAATTTGGTACCTTTTGTTTTAATTTCCGATGAACGATGGCAGAATAATGCTGTGTGGTTCGTTTTATTTTTCCGTGACTGTACATCAAGACAGGTGCTAGTAGCGATGGACAGAAGTCCGACGAAAGCGACTTTCTCTGCGCAAATGGAAATCATCCAAACTTGTGTCATGCGCATGGTCTAACAAGTGACACCCATACAAGCTGCAGATGTAGCAACATCTGACAGAGGACGATCTAGGGTAGAGTTCTGTGAGTGGACACTGAACATGCACGGCAATGTTCCTGGTCAAAATTGGTTAGAGCGATTGTTATTGTGAGTCGGCACGAAAAGAAGACATGTGGAACATATCCTGTAACTGCAGCATCAAATGATGCCCTTTGTACGAATAAAATAAACATTAGTCTCCGCCTTCACCATTTTTATGGAGACTTATGACTCACACTGTAATTTTATTGTACTCAGGGAGGTCTAAAACGTTGAGATTTACTAAAATCTCAAGCTCGATTTTTTTGGCGATTAAATATTTTTTCTTTACTTCGTATACGAGACATTAAAACGTGTTTTTTCAATTCCTACTATTAGCTCACACTCTCCCTATATATATTTATTTATATATCTTGTTCAAATTTTCAATCGTTAATAAAATACTTTTTATTCATCCACTCAAGTTCAAATCCATTTTTTGAAACTTGCAGTGGATGACACTTGATGTTAATACAGTTTTTTCAAATATTAATTCATTAATTAAATTGAATTAATTAATTTTATTCATTAGAGCCTCGCACAGGTTACGATCAGGGTGTAGGGAGAAGAAATGCGGGACGGGACTCGGCGGCGCAAAGGTAGCGCGTCTGACTCCAGATCATATGGCTGCGTGTTCAAATCACATCCAGGTCAAGAGATTTACTCAAGACATATCATTTTCGCACTTAATTTATATTCTGAAAAATATCTCTTGTTGGCAATTGCATCCAAAAATGCTTAGTTCCCCGTTTGAATGAATAAACTTAGGTCTATTTTTTCCTTCAATTCTTCCTACTATTAGTTCACACTCTCCCTATATATATTTATATATCTTGTTCAAATTTTCAATCGTTAATAAAATACTTTTTATTCATCCACTCAAGTTCAGATACATTTTTTTAAACTTGTAGTGGGTGACACTTGATGTTAATACAGTTTTTTCAAATATTAATTCATTAATTAAATTTAATTAATTAATTTTAATTTTATATGGGAGAAAAATTTCTAAAATAAAATTTTTCTTTGTTGACCTAAGTAGGAATTGACTTTAAATTCTTTTTTTTTATATTACTTGTTCACTAACACCTTCGAAATCTACATGTGTTTAAGATCCTTACAAAGAGACGTGACAAAGTAAAAGAAAATCAAGCACAAAAGGAGATCACACCGCATCTTCCCTGAACATCACTTCATCACATTTAACTCCCCTCTTTCCCTTTCTTCTCACACTTCCGGCACTTAAGAAAGGTTTCAAACTTTTCAAATCACTGTTTGTCAGCACTTAACGAGCGTTTGAGAAACTTGCGAAGCGCGCCATGTTTGAGCAGGTTCCTTTGATTCGCTATGCGGAGACGAAGAAGAAATTCCTGCTGGATGTGTTCCAAAATTCCAACCAGAAAATGTAGCCAGCGCTAACATATGCCACAAAAACCTTTGTGTTCTCACGATAAAATGAAAATAAAAAGAAATATATAACTGAAGTAATATTTTTTTCTTTCTGGAGAGGAAAACGAAAGAGCTAGTTCACACTATGATGAACAAGATCATGCGGTTTAACTGAAGCGGAGATAAAAATTGGAAAAGCGAATGAAATAGAGACATCGCGCGCTTGCTCAACTTTCTCCCTTAGATATAATGGATTCCCCCTTTTCATTCCAATATGATATTTTGGAATCTGGCAACAGAGAAGGTGGAAATAATAAAAACGCAAGCTGCGTATCACCAAGTCGTAATGAAAAATTCGGTGGCGAAAGATTAAACCATTTCAGGCGTTCGAAATAGAATGCGGGTGACATGAATCTCTTTCACTGAAATGAAAAGACCTTGCCAACAAAACTAATTCGTTTGGATATCTAATTTCAATTCGGTAAATGTTTTTTAAAAATAAGAAGTCGTATACTTTTTCATACATATTTTATTGAGGTTGAAGTTAATATCGAAGTCTTTCTATGTACAGGGAGAATATTGCATTTTGTTTTGTATTTAACATCTCTGGTTGAGAAAATGTTGAATGTAAGCAGAAAACAAATGTTTCGAAATATATGTTTGCTTTTCCGACATTTTCTTTCACGAATTCCGTATAGGTTCAAAGTGCAGTAAACAAAATCGTAATAAAAGTTTATGATACGCGCGAACCTGTTTTTTTTTATTTAACCTAATGCTGCAACAACAAAATGCTTCAATTTTTATGACGACATTATTATAAATTTGAAGAAATTGAAAATTTAATATAGCTTCTACTTTGCGTAAAAGTTGCATAAATCTTTTTCTGCGACTTTCAGATAGAGAATATTTTTATAGGTTTATATGCAATCAATTTTTGTAAAAAAAATTCACTTAATATTATAAAAAGATAGCTTCAATAAAAAGTACATTCTGGCGCCTTAACCCTCTCATAGCTCCAATAAAAAGTACATTCTGGAGCTTTAACCCTGTCATAGCTCCAATAAAAAGTACATTCTGGCGCCTTAACCCTGTCATAGCTCCAATAAAAAGTACATTCTGGCGCCTTAACCCTGTCATAGCTCCAATAAAAAGTACATTCTGGCGCCTTACCCTCTCACAACGAGCAAGGCGGTCCTGGGCGGCCTAGAAATTTCCCCTTAACAGCGACGAAGGCTGGTCTGAGGCGTTTCGCTTCTTTTGAGGGGAGGTGAGGTTCTGAAATCGTTTAGATGACAAGCGGGGTAGGGCGTCCAATTATCCTTGCCCATTTCCGTGCGTTTTAAGGGAAGGTTATAGCAGGGGTGGAGTGGTGGGGTGAACGACCACCCAGGGTGGAAGAGTCCAATTCATGTCGCATCCTCCCAGAAAGTCCCGGTTTTAAAGGGCCTAGAGGAAAAAAGTCAACTCGGGATTAAAGAGTTAAACTAAACTTTAAGGATCAAATTCAATGATTTTTATTTTTGAAGATTGTGTTTTATCCCCATACAATGAATGACAAAAATATTTAACAAAAGCAAAAATAAACGTTATTAACTATGAGTAATAACAAAAGAATATTTTCTTCAGTTGAAAGAATTTGGAGGAAAAAAAGATGTCATCATTTTCGTGCAAAATATTACGCAAATTAACAAATTCAAGATGAAATGAAATTTCTCTCTCCATAATGAAGAAATATAAAACTTCGAAATGTAATGTTTTTAAAGAAGTCTGTAACTATTGACTTATGATATGACTCGAAGTTTTGTATATTTGTAGTAGACAGCCAGAGCGAATTTGACGTTCTCGCCCTCGTCAGCCGTGATATATTTTTATCTTTCAGGCAGTCCACCAACATCGATATCGAACCATATAAGAGCCTTACGAATCCTAGAATAGGGGTTGCGGTGGAAAGATGTTAAGTTATCCTTAGCCAAGGAATAGCTGTGAATCCCTGAAACCAGAGACGAAATTGCCTACGTCGCCAATGGAGATCGAATCTCTATAGAACCTAATTCTCCTTCGACGCTCCTGGAAGTAGACACTCGGAGTAAGTTCTCCCCTTTCAATTTCCACTTCAATATCTGTGCACAAAAGACATGCCATGTTTCACTCCCACGATCATTCAATGTGTCATGTGACATTTCAAAAAATAACGCAATACTAGCATGACAATAAAATCTGTTTCAATCCACAGATACTCATTATATTTACAGAATTTCAGATATGAAAACGGTATAGTCTTTTTTATAGTGTCCTATCCAAATATAATACAACGCAGACACCTTTTTCCGTTTCCCCTGATCTTTAATTGATCTGTAACCAGCTTCAGAGTTCTGTCTTTTTGTTTAAAAAAAATTAAACACTCCTGTACATGTTCAAAACTGTAATTTGATGTGGTAAATTACATCACACTGAAAGACCATAGCTCTACCCAAAGGATTTTTTGCAGTTAGACTAATGTCACGTTCTGAAGCAACACCAGCGCTATTTTGGAATGGTATTTGTACTTTTAATTAGTGGTCAGATTACCTGGACGAAACCTTAGCATGTTCCCTCCTCTCTCTTCAAACTGTAATCAAAAGAAAACGAATGCAAGTTCTCTCTTGCCATTTGTTTTTAATTAACATGATTCTTTATTTCTCGGATAATAACAGAGCCTGCAAGCGTCTGGAGGATGTAGAAATTATTTTAAACCGAGGTCAGAGGACAATTATGATTCTCGATCCGATACTACAAATTTCAAAGTACCATACCACATCAGTGTTAGGGAATTTGGTTCCCGACGACATATTCAGTGTGTACCAAGCCAGCATACCTGGTTGATTGGTCTCGAATCCACTATCTTCTGATTACAAATCCAGTATTCTACCACCAGGTCAACTCACGATAATAATGCTGTAATATAATTTAAGGCATGCTGTACTGAATACAAATGACATTGTAATCTTTCGCAAATGCAACACGGTAGTCTGAAAACTCATCCTTTATAAGGTCTTAGGCCTGTTAGAAGAAGTTTTAATCCACCAGTTAGTTAATGTTTCTGGAATGGACAGAAAACAAACGACCGTGTAGCAGTATGAGGCTTAACCTCTTAACCCACGGATTTATTTAACCTCCTAATTAAATGTCACATTCTATTTCAGACATTTATTGTTATTTCATTGCATATAAGAACGGAAAAGACGCCCGAGATCTTTAAGTGTGTCCCGGCGATTTTTATCTTTTAAATTAATTGCGACATAGACTTCATTACAAAATTAAATATCAAAAATTCAGAAATTCGATGTACAAATCAGACAGGTCATTGTATGTTGTGAGGAGTTAAGTTAATTCATTGCTATAAGTATCCGTTTAGATAAATAGCTAAGAAAAATCGAGGCACTTTAGTGCAGTAAGAGTTTTTAGTAATTCAACACAGTAGGCAAAAGTGACATGAATGCTTGAGCATTGCCGTATTACGGATTTTCGACCGCTAGGTGGCAGCAGAGAAGAGATATGATACAGAATGATGGAAACGACGAGATCGAAAGACGATAATGATGGATTATTAGGAACTCTACAGAATGTGGCAGACATTACATAAGCTTGCATTTAGTTTCGTAAACACTTTATTGTAAACAATTTTTTTTTAAATATAAGCGATTAATTAAAGTTTATTCAGGAAGTCACCCGTAATCTGCGATGCAGTTACATGTTATTAATATCTTCATACATTTTTCCGACAGATTCTCGATTTCGAAGCAGTAGGTTTCGAGACCCAATCTACGAAAGGTGGGTGCACGTTAAATGAAACCTAGGTGCAAGCTTCCTCCGGCTGGTGTGGCGTAGTAATTTGAAGAGGGGGTGCCAGCTCAGGTGTAGTCCTCGTCCTCTGATCACATTTCAAAATTATAACGGTTCCTCCCCCCCGTCATAATTTTGAACCGTGATTATGAGGTTTTTAACAAGATAGGTCTCGTGTACGAAACTAGGTGTTAATCTATCTAAACACAATTGTAATTTGTGCATCGATTCATCGTGTTTTTAAAATTATAAACCAAAATTAATTCGTCACAGACGTTGTAATTCGATAAGAAAAACGACGGTAAATCCAAAAATATGTCATAGTTGAATCAAATCGACGACACTTCCCCAAAACGGAAATCAGAATAATTAAAAGAAAGCAAAAAACTAAGATAAAAACTCTGAGGGAATCGAACTAAACAAACAAGAAATCAATTCTAGTCCAT